AGAAAGGATTTCTATTAAATGTATTGCTCTATGACTAGGATTTTTCTTAAAATTTATTACCAATATTTTTCTATGACAATGCTATAGTAATTCCACACTGTGTTTAATCTCTTCATGGCACTTGTAAGACCATTGTATGAGTATACTTATTCAGCTTTTTGCTGTTGGTGGACATTTGGGTTGTTTCCAGTGTTTTTAATTATAAAAATGCTGCAGGGATGACCCTTATACCTGCGTACCTGCACCCTCACATGAGTATTTCTGAATGGCTGGATCAAAGCCATGAACGTCTTAACTTTGAGCAGCTATGTGGTTGTGTCTTTTAGCATTTGCTTCTGAGATGCATCTCGGTGTACCTCATCATTGAGGGGCCCTGTCCTCAGCCTGCTCCTGCCCAGTGTGATTAGGATGACGGCTGATGCCACTGTATGTTTGCACAGAGAATTTGTGGTATCTGTTGGCAGTGATTTGCTTCCTGGACACCCAGCCACCCAGGACCTGTTTTGCAACAGCCAGTGTTCTCTAATTCCGCAGGCTAACTTTGACACGAACTTCGAGGACAGGAATGCATTTGTCACGGGCATTGCAAGGTACATTGAGCAGGCGACGGTCCACTCCAGCATGGTAAGTGTGCTGCGCGTGCGGATGGGCCTCGGATATCGTCTCACACCAGGGACCTGAATCCCAATAGCCAGGGAGCCCTCTAAACTGGGGCTATCTCTATAAGCCCAGGATGCAGCCCTGCCCTACCACGTCTCGGTGCCTTAGGGCAGCTGCATCCCGTTAACTTCCAGCTTTACGAATCCTGCTCAGTGTTAGGCCCCGCTTCATCCCCATTCCTTACTTCCCTGAGCTATAAAAGCTTTGGGGTTAACATGTGATTGGCTCCTGCCTCGTCTTACACTTCATAGATTACTGAGTACTGTATGAAATTTTTCTCTCTTGACAAAGCAAAATGTTCCTCAAAGAAGAGACACAGCGGCCTTGACTTTGGAATAACACTGTTATTGACTCGCAGTTATTGATGGTCTAAACTACTTCGCAAGTGGAGCGGGTCGTTTCTTTCTCAGGATGTGACCTTAGCAGGGAGTGATCACGCCCCTCCCTCTGGGCCTTCATTCAGAGGTTCTGCGGTGGCTCCACAGACCCTTCTCAGTATGGCATGTGTGTCCCATGACCTCGTCCTAGCAAACCTGACTCATTCAGCCAGTCACTAATGTGTGTCTGGCGAGGACAGTGTCAATGCGGAGGTGCGTCCAAGGATAATAGAGGCAAGTCCTGAGTCCCAGTGAGTCAGGCGGGAAGTGGAATGCAAATGGATGTGCTCAGCACTTGCTAAACACCTGTTCTGTGCAGATACTATTTTCAGTTCATCGTCTTATTTAATCTTCACATAAATCCTGTGAGCTGTTTCTGTTATAATGCCCATTTTACAAATGGGGACAACTGAAGCCCTAAAAAGTGAAGACACTTACTCAGGGTCACACAGCTGACAAGGGACAAATCTGAACCCAGGTCTAAACTACTCTTTGAGACAAATAAAAATGCACAAAGAGTCAATGTCACGGTAAAAGTTTCAAGTTCCGTATTTCTGAAGGGGCTTCAAGGGGGTCAGAGAAAATTTGATGAAGGAAGTGGTGACCCATGGAAGAGTGATACGGTACGTTCTGCACTTTAGAATATATGGGGGACTACATAGTAAGACCCTGTCTCAAAAAAAGACCCAAAAATGTTTGTGGGACATTCTCATATATGATGTCATTGGAGCCTCATTATAGCCTTGCAGCTTGGAAAGGGATCATGCATCCACTCTAGAGATGAGAAAACTGAGACCTGGAGAAGTTATCAGCCAAGTAGCCTAGGAGACTACAAGTAGTAAGTCAGAGGGTTGGACCTCAAATTCAAGACTGATGCCCAGTCCTGACCTTTTTTCTGTACTTTGCTCTCAGTCAAGGGTGAGGTGGGGAGGGGACACCAGGGAAAGAACCAGCCAGAGCGCAGGCACAGACTTTTCAGGGACTGCCTGAGTTTTGGCTGAAAGGCACAGCTTGTCTGTGGCATCTCTGGAAGGTTCGACGAGGGTCAGAACATGGAGGTGTGTTAGTGGGACTGCTGGACCAAAGTGCCGCAGTCTGGGAAGCTTAAACAGCAGAGGCTTCTTCTCTCAGTTCTAGAGGTGGGGAGGTCCAAGATCAAGGTGTCAGTGGGTGTGGTTTCCCTGATGCCTCTGTCCTGGGTTTGCAGACAGGTGCTTCAGGCTGCTTCCTCAAACGGTTTTTTCTCTATGTCCGTGTCTGGGTCTCTTTGTGAGCCCCTTACCTCTTCCCATGAGGACACCAGTGACGCTGGGTTGAGCCCAGCATAATGAGCTCACTTGAACTTAACCACCTCTGAAAAGACCCTGTCTCTAAATACGGAGGGAGTCTCAGGTACTGGGTCCGGGGCTTCAGGGGAAGAACTGAGTGTGGGGGAGGAGAGGACACAGTTCAGCCTGTAACTGAGGGCTTCATTCATTTAATAAAAAGTCATAAGCAGTGGAAAGTTTCCCTCCATGGGAAGGGTGGGCGGAACCCTGCGTGCGGAGTTTCACTTGTGAGCTATGGGCAGGATGAGTGGAAGGAGGCGTGAATGGGGCAGGTGGAGTGGAGATCATTGAAAGGATCAGTCCTGGAGGCGCTGACCGCTGAATGCGGGCATGGTGTTGGTGATGGCCAGGCGGATGTGGGTGTGAGCGACACTGAAAGTACCTCCACCGGCTTAACAGTCGCCGGGAGTCTTGCTGAGTGAAATGCCCTAGAAGTCGCACGTCAGGGGCACCAACAGGGAAGCGTAAGGGAAAGGCTGGACCTGAGGGTGATTATATTTGTTTTCTATTGCTATGTGAACAAATTATCATCAACTTCCCGGCTTAAAGCCCTAGACTCATTTGCTGACGAGAAATTTAGGTCAGAAGTCCAACGTGGATCTCCCAGGGTCAGACCAAGGTGCCCACAGGGCTGTGTGCCTTTGTGGAAGGCCCAGGGAAGGGTCTGTGGCCTTACTTTTTCCACCTTCCAGAGGATGCCCACATCGCTTGGCTTATTTCTAAATAAGGAAGCTGTGACACAGGTTAAAAGATGAGCGCAAGAAGAGCCAGGGTCAGAACTCGGGTCTCCTGAGTCCCCAACCAGGGCTCTTTCCGCCCCGCATCCTGCACTCCTGTTCCAGGCTGATTATGCACCAGAGTCCGCAGGGCAGAGCCTGCATCCTTCTAGTTCACTGCCCCGTGCACAGGACCCTGTGGATGCCCGGTAAACACTTGCTGAATGAATGGGTTGAAACTGCCGTGGGCAGCGTGGTGCTAAAAACAGACTCCATTCTTTACACTCCTGTCACTTCCTCTTTCTGACGCGTGTTCTGAAGAGGACAACAGCGGGAGACCCACGGCTTGATCTCGGTTCTTTCTGATCTCAAGGACAATCTGTTACTGATTTTTAAAGTTCTCTAAATTAAGAATTGAAACTGTGACTTGCCAGTGGCATCTGCTATGCAAAATAGAACTGTCCTAAGTGGTAAACTCCAAATTATATCAGATCTTGTGCTCACAAAGTGTTAGGAAAGATCAGAATATTCAGCTTTAGCATTAAATCAATAAAACTTCATTTTTATACACATACAAATATTTACAAAGGGAGATGGCCTAATACTTTTATTATATTTCTGAAGTCTACTATCTGTAACATAAAATGATTTAAGCTGTACAATTCAGTTTGAGCATATCCACCATGTTAAACAACCATCCCAACCATTTAATTTCCATCACCCCCAAAAGATGCCCTGGACCTTTTAACAGTCACTCCCAATTCCTCTCTCCCTCCTTCACTCGCTACTCTCCGTCTCTCCCTGACAACCACTAATGCACTTTCTGTTTCTGTGGATTTCCCTATTCTGGAAATTCCAACTACATGAATCACACAGTATGTGCCTTTTGTGTTTAGCTTCTTTCACTTAGTGTAGTATCTTCAAAGTTCACGTGGCGGACGTCTGTGTCAGTGCTTCATTACTTTTCTTAGATAAGTAATAGTCCATGGTGTGGATATACCACATTTTATTCATCCAACCACCAGTTGGTGGGCGTTTGGGTTATTTCCACTTTGATGCTGTTGTCAGTAATGCTGCCAAGCCATTGGTGTTACACACAAATCTTGAATCCACACAAGTCTCTGGGTGGAATTTTAGAGGAAGTGATTCACTGTAGACTAAAGAGCTAAGAAGTGAAAAAGCTGGGATTTCCACTCAGGTGTTTTGACCTTGAGTTTAGGGCTTATTCCACAGTGACGTTTGGCTTCAAGGGCAGATGATCCCTATGTTTCTTAGGTTGATTTTCATGCTGTTCTTTTTCCATTGGCTCTACTTATTATTTTTTAAAACTTGACATTACTTGTTTTCCTATTGATGAAATAGTAATATGGACTCTTAAAATAAAAGAGTGAACATAATGCTCCCATATTATATTATTATAGTATAGCATATATTATAGCATATTACATATTGTATGTTATTGTACTGTGTTCTTCTGTAGTGTACACATAAAGTAGTATATAATATTCCAACCACACAAAGAGTTTGCTGCTCATAGCTTGGGACATATCCCATCAATTTTTTTAATACATCCTAATATACATTCATGATTATTGCTGTTTATTTTAGTTACTGCACGTACGGTGTTACCAGTGGTTCTTTCTCACACTGTCTCTGGGGTACCTTTCGTTGTGGGGACACAGACCTGGCTGGTTCTTTCTAAAACAGTCACCCATCTCCTTCAAAACACATGGCCTGGATTTAGAGTCCTTGGGCCTCTGAGGAGGACAGTTTAGATCAGTTCTTCTCAAACTGAAGGTCATGTGACTTATCTGGGGAGAAATGCAGGTTCTCATTCCACAGGCCCAGGGAGGCCCAAGAGCGGAGTCCACACTGTGAGTACTGCGGACTCTGGGGCGTGGTTTCTGCCTGCTGAGCCCATGTTGCTTTTCCAGAATGAGATGCTGGAAGAAGGACATGAGTACGCCGTCATGCTGTACACCTGGCGCAGCTGCTCCCGGGCCATTCCCCAGGTGAGACGTCCTTCCTTGCCTCATGTCTCTCTCCTATCTGGCTGCTGCTCCCGCTTCCTGCCCCACCCCCACAGTGTGACCTGAGCCTCCGCAGTAGCAGGGAGGAAGTCAGGGCCTCTGATCCAAGGAAGAATGTGGGGGATATTCAGAGGACTTCCCGTGAGACTGATGACAAGACCTATGCCCAGGAATTAAAAATACACTTCCTGGTGTACAGTAGAAACTATTTTATTTCATCCACTGTATATGCTGACTGTCTGTCCCCAGCCCCTTGCAGAAGTGTATAAAGTAAAAACAAGACCTCCTCACCCTGCCACCTAAGCCAGCCTCCCACCATCGGATAATCACTGTGAACACCTGGCTACAAATTTTTCTGACCTTTTTCCTAGCATAAGTATTATTTTGTAAATTATGTCATTCGTAAAAGTATGTTTCTATTTTATATTGTTCTGCCATTTTTTTACCACTTAATCCTTTATTCCACTGACTTAAGCTGAAAGAGATATTTTTACTGCCATCACTGTCATTATCCTATAACTCACGGGTTCCATTGTGACAGAATCAACAAACCGTAGGTGTGCAAAGTAAACAGAAGCGATTCCTCCCACTTCTTTTAATCCCAGCCCTCAAGGATATCCACTATGAACAGTTTGTCTTGCACCCTTCCAGATTTCCTGTGCTGGTATTATGTACGGACACTTACACACAGTTCTGTGATCAGATTATACTTGCTGTTTTGTAACTTTCTGCACCTGTTGATGGTGAAAATTTGCACAGATTTTTCTCATTCCTTCTATCAGTTCATAATGATATATGATTGTATCATTTTATCCATTTGACCACCCACTGGTGGATATTATTCAGATGCTACCATTTTGTGAATTTCTAAGCAATTGTAGAAAATTATCCTTGTGCCTGCCTTTGCTGGTTCTTGTGCAGTTTTTGTTTTTTTTGGGGGGGGAGATGGGGTACCAGGACTCAAACTCAGGACCTTGCACTTGTCAGGCAGGCGCTTATTCCACTGAGCTATATCCCTCGGCCCCCTTTGCTCGTTCTTTAGGTCCTGTCAGCAGTCTTTAGGTCCGTGTTGGCAGTCTTGAGTGTGTGCTGTGGGAACATCTGTGTGATTCTGCTGTACTTGCTGGTCAAAAACCATTGGGCAGAAAAAAGGGGTTTCCTCATGGTACATTGTACTTGGCCAACACTGGCTTGGGGATGTTTAGGGGAACTGTATACCAGCTACGTTCAGAGCAGGGTATTTCTTTCTGCTTAGAATTTCCAGGTGCAATAGAAGAGGAATAGGAAAAAGGGCGAAGGAGGGAATCCATGCAGATTCCTTCGATCTGCTCTGCAGAATCCATGCACAGAGCAGAAAGAGGGAGGAGGCTGTGGTCCTGGGGCAGCCGGCGTCTTTTCTGCAGCCAGTCCCTAAGTGATGCTTCTGCCCCCTGTCAGAGCTACCCCAGCCTGTTATCATCCAAACTAGGGCGACCATGACAGTTATCATCGAGAATGAGGCACTCATGAGGCTAAAGAGAGGCCTTGTTGGTAAGGACTGCCTGGGCCAGCCAGGACTGTGAGAGTGTCCGTGCCCACAGGTGAAATGCAATGAGCAGCCCAACCGCGTGGAGATCTATGAGAAGACCGTGGAGGTGCTGGAGCCAGAGGTCACCAAGCTCATGAAGTTCATGTACTTTCAGGTGAGCTGGCCTGGGTGGGTCCACACTGGGAGACTTGAAAAGACCTCCATACTTCCTGACCCTGGGTTGTGGACTTTTGAATTGTGCTGCGTTATTTATTCATCCAGCAATTACTTTTTAAGGGGTGCCCACTCACCCCTAGGTGAGCAAGATGGGCAGGTACCCTGCCCTTGTGCAAGTGACGATCGCGCCACTTTCTGAAGCAGTTCTGGAATTCCCCTTTCCCGAGTGTCTTTACAAAATATGATAAAATATACAGTGAATATGGCTACCAAGTGTCATGCAGTGGAAAGGCAGGCTTGTAAAAACATGACAGTGTATCCTCATCCCCCTTATTCATGGATCTAGCACTGTGCAACCTCTGGCCCTTCCTCAAGGTCAAAACGACCACGAAAGACAAAAATTTTGTGTCAGCTCAGGACATTGCGGCAACCATGATGGTACAACTAAAGACGCAGGAAAGAGGACTTCCAGAGCTGCTTCAGTTAGTGGCACAAGTGACGGGCTAAGTGCAGCTGAAACAAAGGGGAGTATTTTGAAGGAATGAATGGCCATGTGTCTTTTACTGTAATAAATTTTAAAAATTCAAACATGCACCACATTTTTCAACCATTGCACGCCCTAGTGAGCATGTTAGTATATTTTGGGCATAAGGAGAGACTGGCTGTAACAAACGAATAATAAACTTCCAGGGCATAGCAAGGGCTGCACGTAAAATCCAGTTGACAGCGTGCCTGGGTTGTAGAATGTCCACCGGTGGTGCTGCTTTGGGGACGGCCTCTCAGAAAGCGGCTGCGAGCTGGGATTTGTGTATGAAAGGGGCTGGCGGGTGATGGCCAGGAGGAGAAGCTGTAGGAGGAAGGTACTGCAAGGCCAAGGCGCTGAGGCCTGGAGGGTTCTGATGTATTCAGGAAGTACAAGGCAACTAGGCAGGCTGCAGAGCCGTGAGGGAGTGGTGGAAGGGGGTGTGGGAGAGGACACAGGGAGCCCTTTACATGGCGCGCTACAGGGCTGTGAGATTTTACTCCAGCGACCTGGGAAGTCCCTGACCGTTTTGGGCGGCCTGATCTGATCTGAGTTTTTATGACATCTGACTGCTGTGTTGCAAGCAGATGAGAGTTGGGGGCCAAAGAGGCTGAGGGGGGACAGCAGGGGGCCCAGTTGGGAACTGGAAGAGCAGACATTTAAAGGAAGAAAAGAGAGGACCAAGGGTTCCTGTGAGCGCCGGGGAAGACAGCGGCCCAGCTGGACAGAAACCACAGGAGAAGCATCTCATAAGCAGGTCCTTGCCGCAGTCGCGTTGGAAGTTGCAGAGGACCACGGGGTAAACACGAGGTAAACACATCTGTAGCCCAGGGTGAGCATCATGCCACACGGACATACCCTCTGCGTGTCCCCCAATGGAGCTGAGCTTCATGTAGACTCCGGAGTGCTGGCGTCCACGCTGCTCCCAGCACTGGGCTGGTGTCTGGAAAGTGGGAGATGGGAGTGGAGGTGGCGGGGGCCACGGGGTCGCCGTGTAGCCCTGGATCAGGAGCTCCGCCAAGTCACAGCCCAGCTCTGCCGCTCCCTGTGCGCCTGAGAGCTGTTTCCCTCCCTGACACCTTCAGGCGTTTCCCTGGACTGATGCCTGCTTCCCAGGTTGGTGGGAGGTAAGGGCAGGAGGTCTGCGTGGAAACAGCCCAGTCGAGCCGCCCAACTGCCGCAGTTAGCACCACCAACCTGCCTTCCTCGGGCCTCGGTTCTCTGGGAGGCAGAGCCAAGAGAGGAGAGATGTCAGAGGCCGGTGACGAGCTAGTCAGGTCACGGAGAACCGTGCTGTCCAGTCCTGAAGCCTTTCCCCACATGTGGCTGTGGACATAACGTAAAATTAAAGTTGCGTAAAGTTAAAAATTCAGCTCCTCGGTCACATAAGGCACATTTTAAGTGCCCAGTGGCCCGTGTGATAGGCGGCTGAGTATTGGGCAGTGGTGACCAGGAACATTTTCATCACTGCAGAAAGCTTAATTGACTGGATGCTGGCAGGAACACGCGTGGCCTGCCTTGGTCTCTGCAGGAGAGGAAGCCGGCTGGTGGATCTGAGCCGTGGGCGTGGGGAGGAGCTCACAGCGATGCATTCATTTCCCTCTCCCTTCTCGTCCTCTCCTATCTCCCCCTAAATTCCTTCTCATTCTCTTGCTCACTCTTCTCGGATTACTACAGTAGCCTCTTCAGGCTTGTTGAACTACGCGCCCCCATGACTACTTTATTGAGATATAATTTACATTGCATTCATTTCACCTGATTGACATGAACGGCTCAGCAGTTTTCGCTATATTCTCAGAGTTGTGTGTTCATCACTACAATTACTTTTAGGACCCCTTCTTCGCCTGCAAAAGGAGCTCTTTAGCTATCACTTGAGAATACCTCCAAAGCCCTGCTACCCCTAGGCAATAAATCTATATTATGTCTCTGTGGGTTTGCCTGTTCTGGGTGTTTCCTATAAATGAAATCATACAGTATGTGGCCTTTTGTATTGGGGCTTCTTTCAGTAGCATGTTTTTGAGGGTCACCCCTATTGTAGCACATGTCAGAATTTCATTCCTTTTTATGACTGAATTCTGTATCATTCTTTGTCTATGCTACATTTTATTTGCGTTTTGGGTTTTTTTTTTCCCACACCTTTTTTGTTTACTTGGTTGATTTTTTGAGACAGAGACTCTCTGTGTAGTGCAGGCTGGCATTGAACTCATTGTGTAGCCTAGGCTGGTGTGGAATTGGCGGCAATCCTCCTGCCTCAGCCTCCCGAGTGCTGGGATTACAAGTGTGTATCACCACAGCCAGCATTTTTTTCCCCACTTTGGGGCTATTAGGAACAAAATGCAAACCGTTGTGTATGAGTTTTTGTGTGGACGTAGGTCTTCCTTTCTTCTAGGAGTGGAATTACCCAATCATTTATTAACTCCCTTAGATGCAGTAGCCTCATCTCCTGCTTCAGTGTCCCCTACCCCCTGATCTCACATCTGTGGCCGCTGTGACCCTTGAGAATTACAGTGCAGACCATGCTACCTGCTCCAGGGCCTTGGTGTCTCCCCAGCTCTCTCATTCAGAGCCCAGAGGTGTGCAGGAGTCATGGCCCGGCCCATCCGACTGCTCCAGCTGCTTTCTGTGCTCGGGCCAGCTGAAGCACCCTGGCTTCTGCCCTGTCTCAGCCATGCCCCAGGACCTTTGCCCTGGCTGTTCACGTCCCTCCGTTGTACCTGTGTACAACTCCTCATCCTCTTTCAAATTCTTTTCCTGAAAGTCACTTTGTCATGATTTGTTCCCTGCTCTTTCTCCTTAGAGGGAGGCTCTTCTAAGCCTCGCCAGCCCCATCCCTTATTTTTCTCCATAGCACACAGCATCCTGATGGGGAGAATTTTTCTACTGTCCCTTCTCATGAAGGCACATAAACATGAGCCCTTAAAGCAGTTTGCTGTGTGGTTGCCCCTGTTTTGCTCCCTGCTTGATAATAGTGCCTAGAGTGGTACCTGGCACATAGTAGGTGTGCAATAAATAGTTGGTGGGTGGACCTCTTTCTCAGGACATCTCTCAAGTTGTTTCTTCTCCCTCACCGCGTGGTGCCCGACCCTGGTGACAGGGCTGGGCTGACAACCATAAATATGCAGAATTCTTTGTAGCAAATGTGTACTGAGTGAGTTCATTGATTTTGCCCCCTTGAGGCAGGTTCCAAGCTCCCGTCTCAAAAGCAGCTTTGGATTTTAGTGCTTCTCTGATCCTGACAAATTTACCCTTCCCAGCGTGGCCTGTCACAAGAGCCCCAGGGCAGCCTTGACCTGTGGCCCCTGGAGACCACAGCAGGCCACCCTGGGCCGCCTGGCCTCACCCTCGTGCTGCCCTCTTCCTGCAGCGCAAGGCCATCGAGCGGTTCTGCAGCGAGGTGAAGCGGCTGTGCCACGCGGAGCGGAGGAAGGACTTCGTCTCGGAGGCCTACCTCCTGACGCTGGGCAAGTTCATCAACATGTTCGCCGTCCTGGACGAGCTGAAGAATATGAAGTGCAGTGTCAAGAACGACCACTCTGCCTACAAGCGGTGAGCCTCGTCTGCCCTCCAAGGTCCTCTGCAGGTAGCTGGGCGACGGGGGCGTCCCAGGGCCCGTCTCCCAGGCTCGCTCCCTGGTGCCAATCTAGCTGTTCCCGACACAGTGGGGCCGGGCCTGGGGCCCTGTGGTTTGAGGAATAAGGGGCAGCGCTGAGTCCTTAGAGAGCTTGATCTTTCCTCAGGCTGTGATCAAGTCCCCATTTCCCTGCACTGGGGAGCAGCGAAGTTTCCTGTTCCCCCGTGCATTGTGGGACTGGGAAGGTGGTCATAGATTGGTTATGTTAGTTGTTTTCTTTAAGTTGCATGCACAAAAAAGGAAGCGGATCAGCTCCCTGACCCGAGAAAGTCCAGGCCTGCCTGCATCCAGGTGTTGTGGGCTGGGTCTCTGCTGGACTTCTCTTTCTCTGGGCTTCCTTTTTAGCCCATTCCCTGCCCTGTGGTCTCCTCCACAAAACGCCATAGCAGCTCCAGCTTTTAAGAAGGGAAAGAATGCTGCTCCTTCCATGTGCTTCCGCAGTAATCGCAGGAAGAACTAGCATTGCTCAAGTCTGCGCTCTGTACTGAGCCCTCCTTCAGTCACTGTGGAGGGCTTGGAGCGCTCTGGCTGAACAGTGCTCAGTCTTGGAATTGGGGGGTCCAATGTCAGCTGAGAAGAATGGCGGAGACTGGGGGTCATCTCCAGAGATCAGGGTACAGTCACCCCAGAGCACGGAAAGACAGTTAAAAGCGGCAGATCCCCTGGGTGTTGGCTGAGGCTCAGTTGAGCTCCTATGTGTCAGGACGTTCTCTGAACATGCCTCTGGGGGAAGATTTTCAGTGTCAGTGTCACCGATAAAGAGGGACCCAGGCAGGACTGGGGACTCTCGTCACAGATCATTATGACGCAGGCCATACTGCTGCCAGGTGAGGCTGGGATGTCTGCGCACCTGTGTGTCCCTCCCTTGGGGCCTGCTTGGGTTCCCTGTGCCTGTCATCTCTTCATCTGTAATCCCATTGGCTTGGTTAGACTTTGGTTGAGTGTTTCCACTGAAGAAGATAGTACACACAGAACCCAAGCCTGGGCGCCGCCCCCTAACTCACTGCAGCTTCACGGGAGGTCACGGTGAGCCCAGAGGACGCTCGCTCCACCCCATCTCAGCACTGCTGCCAGGTTGGCAAATGCTGCTTCCCATTAAGATTTCTGAGGTTTCAGAGATTTGGGGTGCAATCTTGCCTTTTAATTTCAATACGCTGTGTCAACAGCTCCCCACACAGCTCCAAAACATGCTTACCTTTGACCTGAGAGACTCCTGTGATAGTCGGAGCTCGTTAACCTCAGGGATGGGATCCCTCTGAGCCAATTGGGAGCAGGATTCCATGCAGCCTGGCTTAGGCTAACTGTGCTGAGACTGTCTCCGCTGAAGTACCCACTCTCTGCATTCCAGGGCGGCCCAGTTCCTCAGGAAGATGGCAGACCCCCAGTCCATACAGGAGTCGCAGAACCTTTCCATGTTCCTGGCCAACCACAACAGGATCACCCAGGTGAGGGCAGACTTCTGTTGGTTCTGCCTGGCATTTGGGGAATCAGGCAGGGGCTGAGGGTGGACAAACCTTGAGCCCATGCACATGAGCTCTGTCCACATCATCCGTCTCCACTGCCCTTCCCAAGAGGGACATGAAGCTCCCTCCCAGCCACGGGGGCCTGTGCACCGTCTCAGGTTCAGGCCCTGAGAAGCCTCTCAGCCAGGTCTGTGGCCCAGCATCTTGTATAGAGAGAGAGCTGGACTACCACATCCTCCGTTGTGGCACCCAGGGCAAAGTTGAAGCCTCGGTTTCCTCATCTGTAAAATGAGTTCATTGTTTTGATGTTATGAGAATCCATCTCATAGGACTGTTCTCAGGAATAAAAATAACCTTTATTTAGGGCATAAGAAGACACAGCTGTGATCACCGCCACCACTTTGCCAGGGCACACTCACTCAGCTGTCACTTCCGTGCTTTGCTTGACATAGCTTGATGCCTCTCGCTGCCTCTGAGTCACAGCAGCACGAGTGTTTGCAGGAGCCAGGCCAGGGCCGATAGCTCATCGGTGAGGGCCGGGTGCCTCTGCTGGGTTTTCAGTGCTGCTCATCACTGAGACCCAGGGTTGCCAAGGCCCTTGTTGCTCTGCTCACTGCCGAAGGCTGCCCAGCGTCCAGGCACCCTGTAGAGAGTCCATCAGTGCCCTCCTCTGTGTACCCGGCAGAGTCTCAGCTTGTTGCTTTGCAGAAACAGAACTGGGGTGAAGACCTCAGAGCTTTCTCTGCAGGAGAGTTCTCTACTGCTGCGTCCGGCTGGGAGGAAGACACCTGCCGGCCCAGTTGTCCTCCCCTGGGTGGTTCCTCTCTGCCATCGTCCACACCCCCAAAGTGAACCTGAAGTTACTACAGCTCACCGCTGTAAAACTGGGCTGCTTGCTTCTCAGCTCAGCCCCAGACAGCACTTTCCGACGATGAGAATTGCCAGGGGTCACAGTGGAGGGCTCCATAGGAGTCCATTCCATGCTGTGTGGGAGGTGTGCAACCCAGCCCGGTGGTGGCGTTGGCGGGAGGACTCAGGAAGCAGATGCTTGGCTGCCTCAGGCTCCGCTCCACCTGGGGCTGCTGGGGACGCTCAGGCACGAAGCCAGCCGTGGGTGTGGGGGGTGGGCGGGTGAGGAGCAGGAAGAGGCCTGCTCGGCCTCACTGGAGGGCGCCGCTCCTGTCCAGTGTCTCCACCAGCAACTGGAAGTGGTCCCAGGCTACGAGGAGCTGCTGGCTGACATTGTCAACATCTGCGTGGATTACTACGAGAACAGGATGTACCTGACCCCCAGCGAGAAGCACATGCTCCTCAAGGTGAGGCTCCCACAGCCCCACGGGGCGGGGCCTGCTCTGCCCTCCTGCCTCCTTCCCTGTAGAGCCTTTTTTGTTTTTTTTGGTACCAGGAATTGAACTCATGACCTCAGGCTTGCCAGGCAAGTGCTTATGCAGCTGAGCTATATCCCCGCCAGTAGAGCCATTTTTAAATAACAGTATTTCTGTTCCTTTTTTCTTACTTAAACAATGATGCCGATCTTCCTGCCCATCATGGTTTGTAACCTCCTCCTTTCCTTGGGTATGCCGTGTTCGTCTTTGCGATGTCCCTAAGACTATTTTAAAGTACAGTTTTTAATGGCTGCCGAGTATTCCAGTGTATAAGGATGCTTGTATTTCACATATCCCTTGTCACTGGATAATGGTTCGTTAAACGGGATTAATTAAAATCCCATATCCCATCTTTTGTGCCCATCTTTTATCAGGCTGAGCTTCCAAGAAGAGAAATTGCTGACGCAGAGGGAAGGCAGGGTCGGCAGGCTTCTCTAGCTTGTCACACTGGTCATCATTAGTTCAGGAGTCATATTTGTTAAAGGGGAAACCTGGAATATACAGAAAAGCATAAAAAATGTAAATCTTTCCTCATCTTTCCACCCAGAGATAATACTTTTAGCCTCTTGAAGTGAGTCCTAATTTTTTTGTGTGTTTTCTGTTTTCAATATGTGCATTCTATATGCGCGTGGAGAATTTTTACCCCGTGCCATTAAATGCATTTGGAAAATGTATGGCTGTCAGAGGGCGCCATATAGATGAGGCTTCACTTCTTGAATCACTGTCCTGTCATTGGATGCTCAGATTGTTTCTGACTTCTCACTGGCAAGAACAACCTTCCCCAGATTCTTTGTACACACTGCCGTGTCTTTTATTTTTTTATTCTTTCTTCCCCAAAGCCTCATCTCTTTGAGGTTTTCTCTTTCTTCTCTTCTCCTTCGTGTCACTGTAATTATTCTAAGAACCCCTTCTCTGGGTCGTTGCTTCTGTCTTTACATTTCTAGCAGCTGACTAAGTTTAGAGGGTGCATCAGTCCGTGTTTCATTACTATAACAAAACGCCAGAGACAGACTTTCCAAAGAAAAGAAGTTTGCTTAGCTGGCAGTCCACATAGCATGGCACAGTCTCTGGCAAGGTCCCTTTGGTTATACTACATCCTGGCAAGAACATGTTGGTGTCTCCATGTCTCTGTGGGCTCTTTCCTCTCCTTACAAAGCCACAGGATGCAGTCAGGGGCCTCCATCATAATGGCCTAATCCGATCACCTTCCCACCCCTAAATACCATGGTGGGTGAGATTTTCACCCTCTTGATACCATTATCAAGTGACTTCAAGGATTAAGGATTAACATCCAGGAGGCAGACTGTATTCAAACCACAGCACAGAGCAGTATGATTTCATGACTTGTTCACTCTGGCTTCTCCCAGTCACCGTAAACCCAGATCGGTTACCAAAGTTCAGACACCTCCTCTGCACCGCCATGCCTGGGTGGTTACAACAGCTGTTCTGTAGGTAACAGAACTCCTGTCTACTAAGCAGGCTCCCATGCTGCCTTCAAACTCTCCAGACCTCCTTTTTCTCTCACCTGTCCTTAATTCCTCTGTACCTTTGTTTCCCAACCTACTTCCCTCTGAATTCTCCACCCTCCTCAATCTGGCCTCCAACAGTTTTGCTTTTTCATGGCTCACTTGCAGTTTGTGGTCATGAGCTCGGATGCCACCAAGGAGCACCATCCACCCTTAACGGGAGGAATCTTTTGTTGGTCCGGTCAAACACAAGGCACTCAAGTGGGAGGGAACCGTCATCTTACAGTTTTAGGTACTGGATAAGAAATAGAAGCACAGCAAGGAGGTGACCCCCGCATCCCCACAGCTGGCCATGTCCCGTCAGCAGTGCATATGATACCAAAGCAAAATGAGTAGGATTCAAGGGACTGTTGGATGGCCTGAAATACCAAGAAAGTTAACTCATCTGTAGGGGGTTTTTCAGCCAACTATTTTCTTTTAGAAACAAATTCATCTATGACTTCTTGGAAACATTTACATTATTGTCTCCTTAGGGAAAGATGTGGGTACTTATAGATTAGCCCACGTTCTGACAATTTTCCAGCGCCTGTCATATGCTGCATGCACCCTAAGGACATAACAAGGTCCTTCTGTCATGAGGGACTTCACTGCACACATTTTGCCAGCAGATCTGGATTCACTCCTGCTCAGATGCTGTCTCTGAAACTTGGCTAGCTGTCTAATTTCTCTGATTCCTCATGTACCAAATAAGGCTATGGTGTAGAACTTGACTCATAATAATGTCGTGATAATTACAAGTTATTGTTAACAATGATAACTGTTCAAGCCCTCGGCATAGTCTCTGGCCCATAAAAGGGCCAGAGAGCCATAATGTGCTGCATTTCAGGTTGAAATTAGACCCATCTTCCTTGCCTTTATTTGAAGACATTTGAGCTTTGTAATGCATATGTATCTGTATGGTGTGTGTGTGTGCGTGTGTGTGTGTGTGTTCACATCTTGGACCTGCTGTTTTTAAACTTCCAGTGAATGGGATTGGTTTGAGAGTTCTGTCCCTTCTCATTCTAGGTGATGGGCTTTGGCCTCTATCTGATGGATGGAAATGTCAGTAACATTTACAAACTGGATGCCAAGAAGAGAATCAACCTTAGCAAAATTGATAAATTCTTTAAGGTCAGCAACTGGAGCTGGGGCTGGGTAGGGACCAGGGTAAGCAGCGCCAAAAAGCGTTTTGGGGAGAGGAATGAAATTAGTCAGAAGTTGCAGGGCCTGTTAGTTGCACAGTGCTGTAAGGGCCCCAGAAAGAGGAGGAGGAGAGGAATAGGACGGCAGGTGCCCCTGGAAGAGGAAGCTAAGCTACGGCAGGCTGCAGAGCAGAAATCGTACCTGGTTCCATGCTTCGGGGTGTGACTGGGATTCATCGGAAGGCCTGGCGGTTCTTTTGTCGCGCTCCTTTTCCTGTTCCTGAAATCCCCTGTGGGCTAAAGAAACAGGTGCGTGCCGTGTGAACCCTTGCTTATATTTGCACATAAACCAGAGCTCAGGGAAATAGGGTTAAAGACTGCACTGCACGTTTTCCAAATCACAACCGGGGGCCCCCTCAGCTCGTCCTGCTCTCTGGGCAGAGCCTCATTGAGGTCCATCAGGTACTCTGTCCATTCCTGTGCTTCTGAAATCTTGTCTCCCAGCCCCGAATCTTTAAAAACACACACTTGCAATTGAGTCGTCACTTTTACAAGGGGATTTCGTACCTCGGAACTGAACTCACGTTCCCAGTGTATCCTAATATTGGGCCCTGCAGGCACAAAGCCAGGCCTGGAGGCTAAGACACAGGGAGGTCCAGTTTAATACTAGTAATGAAACCTCTTGATGGGCAGAAGGGAGGGCACTGGCCTGAGCCTGGGTCCCACCAAGTCTTTCGGGTTATGGGGAGCATAAATCACCAAGAAGAATGAATCCTGTGGTTTGGCTTGGACTCTCTGAATAGGAAATTTTAAATTTCTCTGGAGCTGCCCCAAATGCAAACAGTGCTCATCTTAGAGTGGTGATGGCGAACCTTTTGGAGCTTTCAGTGATACAAACAGCCCCTGTGGCCCGCCTGCCATGGGTTCGCCACCATAGAAGGGTCTCAGAAGATCCTGGCAAAGTCTGCCTTACCCAGCATGAATGGGTAGGGTGGAGTGGCGGAATACACTGGCTCTACACCGCAGTAAGCAGACAGCTTTGGATAAGGCAGGAATCGCATCGGAGCTGAGTTCCCCAGTCTGAAAAACCATGAATGCCAGGAGCATCTTTGAGTTCCCTCAAGGATTCAGTGGGATTAGAGATGAGTCAGAGCCTCGGTGTAGAATCCTGGCTCCTCAACTCCAGCTGGCCTGACGCTGAGAAGTCACAGAGCCTCCTTCGCATCCGTTGCGTCGTTTGTGACATGCGGGTGGTGGCGGCCCTGCCGTCACAGGTCTCTGTGCGGGTCCAGATGGTTTTGGAGTCTTCGGCACAGTGTCTAGTGCAGGAGCAGCAGACGGAAGACACAGCCGCACCTCCACTTGCCCTGGCCTTTGGTTGGGAGTTCCTGCCCCCGGTGTCAGGTACTCAGTCTCAGTCACTGCCATGGCAGTGAACTTTTCCCAGAAGCCACAGCCAGCAGCAGGTACCTGCACCTCGAGCAGAGTTTGGAGCTGCAAGGATTTCTGAGCTGGGGGAAGTTAGAGCAGAAAGGACCCAGCGCGGAGAGGTCAGCCTCTTGTTCCTCTGCCTTCATTCCTTTCACTGGCTGTGTGACCTCCCGCAAATTACTTGGCCTCTCTGGGCTCGATCGCTTGGAACATGGAGTTGGCTGGAGGCAGGGGAAGACCTGTATGCTCGCTGGGGCTCCGTTTAATTCCAGGGGCCTACGGTATCCTCATCAGAAGTGCAAACGAGGGGCTGGTCCCAGCTACACACGGGGGCCTGTCGGTGAAGACAGCCGCCCAGCCCTCCACGGCCTGCGTCTCACGCGCTGTTTGCTTCCTTTACAGCAGCTGCAGGTGGTGCCTCTTTTCGGCGACATGCAGATAGAGCTGGCCAGATACATTAAGACCAGTGCTCACTATGAAGAGAACAAGTCCAAGTGAGTGCCTGCCGTAATGTCTCTCGGCTCCCGCAGGACGCCCAGCCCGGGCAGGGGGCCGAGGGGCCACTTCAGCCCCTCCCCCCTCCCCAGAGCCCTGGGCCGGCAGGTTCCATCCACGCTGGCACCGCCACCGCCACCGCCGGAGGGGATCGGCAGAGGGCGCTCTGAGCCCCTTTGTATCCGCCCTTCGCTGCCAGGTGCAAAAGGGCTCAGAGCCTCGCCTCGTCCCTTGTCCGACTCAGCAGTAACCTGCGCGTCCCCTCAGCGGGACAGCGGGAGTCCTTCTCCTCCCGGTGGTCAGGTGGAGAGAGGGTGGTGTCCTCCGTCACCCCGATTCGCTGCTCAGGATTTGTGACCACGCGGTAAGTACGGAGTTAAGCGAGCAGCTTGGCCGGCGCTGGCGGTACAGGGGTTGACAGCCTCCCTGTAGGTCGCTTTCTGAACCAGGATGCTAGGACTCCGTGCTGGGGCCAGGGTGTCATTGGCTCCCAGAGTCTGGAGAGGAACTAGCTCCAGTCTTACCCACACCTCTGATCCCCGAGGTTGTATAGAGAACCCCTCTGTGTGCACCTCGCCCCACGTTCAGCGTGAACCAGGCCTTTCCGTGCAGACTGGGTACCCTTTGGTCAACAGTGAGAGTGTAGTGCCTTAAAAGAATGCCAATAACCTGGATTTGGTGGTGCACACCTAAATCATAGCCACTTGAGAAGCTGAAGCTGGAGGATCCCAAGTTCAAGCCCAGCCTGGACAACGTAGCAAGATCCTATCTCAAAATTGTAAAAGGGCCAGGAATGTAGCTCAGTGGTAAAGCACTTGTTTAGCGTGCGTAGGGCCCTGGGTTCAATCCCCAGTATGCAAAATAAAGGAGAAAGAAAGAAAGCCATCATAAGGTCTTTAAGCCACACCGGCTTGGTCCCCAAGGAAAGCTGCCCTAGGGGACGCTGTCCCGGAGGGAGCGCTGGGAGCAGAGGAGGCTGAGCTCGTTTCCTCCCCTTTTCTGCCTGAATCCTGCACCAGCTGCAGCTGATGGAAAGGAAACCTGAGTATGAGCAGGCAGGGAGTGAGTGACAGTGTCCCGTCACCCCAGAAGTAGCTCAAAGTAAGGAGTACCAGAAAGGCAAAGTCCAAGCACAAGGGAGGCTGTCGCCATTGTGAGCCTCCGTATGAAAACCACTTCAGGCCCTATGTGTTTTGTTTTGTTTCGTTTTGTTTTGCACTGGCAGTTAAACCCAGTGTCTGAGCACTGAGCTACATCTCTAGCCCTTTTTATTTATTTTGAGACAGTCTTGCTAAGTTGCCCAGGCTGACCCCAAACTTGCAGTCCTCCTCCCTCAGCATCCTGAGGAGCTGGGATTATGGTGTGTGCCACCATGTCCAGCTGGGGCACCCTTTGAAGTGGCAAATTCTCTCCCCAGCCCTTTTCTGCTTGGTCAGTGCCTGTGCTCAGGCTGTCTGCCAGGTCATCAGCACCAGACAGTGGGAGACGGGGAGAGCAAGGAGGATTTTCATTCATTTCCATGTCTGTTCAGGGTGGTTTTCCTAATGATGTCTTTCAAAAAGAGTTGAGGAGGATGAGAGGAAGGAAGAAAGAGAATCAGGGAGAGGAAGGGGGAAGGAAAAAGGCCAGGTAGAGGGAGATGCATCTCAAAGTGGCATTTCTCCTCCTGGGGTGCATCCTTGACACCGGATCACCATTGGAAAAGGGACACAAGCCCGTTTAATCTTCCCCTGTCCTGGCCCGAAGGTCCCTCTGGAGTCCCACCAGAGTGTCGATGCTTCTAGAGTGCGTAGCCAAGTCGGGGCAGGTTGCCCACCTTGAGTTTTTTCTTAGCTCAGACTCCAGCCCTTTGTATACCTAGAGAGCTGTGATCTCCACCCTCAACCCTCTGCTGGTAAGTATTGGCGACCAGGTACGAGAGAGTCGAGAGTCCTGTGCTTGGATCTTGGAGGAAGCTGGCACGGAGGATGAGGAAGGACTATGGCACTCACCAGGGTTCCACAGTGCTGTGCTTAGCAGTCTCTGGTGCTTAGGTGGCAGAAATACGTTTTGGTTCCACCCAGGGGAGCCGGCTGTATTGGCTGAGGACCAGGAACAACTAGTGAATGGAAGGAACCTGTTCCAACCAGCGCCTGGGACCAGCACCCCTTCTGATCATGTGACTTTCTTTACAGGTGGACGTGCACGCAGAGCAGCGTCAGCCCTCAGTATAACATCTGCGAGCAGATGGTTCAGATCCGGGATGACCACATCCGCTTCATCTCCGAGCTTGCTCGCTACAGCAACAGTGAGGTGAGTGGCGCGGGTGTGCCCAGGCCAGGAGGGGTACAGAGCATCTGGGAAGGACAGAAACACAGGGATAAAGGAGAGTGACAGGGAGGGAACGCAGTCTGAGGCAGAGGGCAGCATTGCTAAGCGTGTGGGTTTTAGGGCCAGACAGAAAGTATTACTGTCATAAGGTTAAACTTCTTGACAAGGGGCGTAAGTTATGATCTGGGTGTATGTCACCCAACGTTGTCGCTTCTGGTTCTGCCACTATCCTTTGCAAACGACTCCACATCTTTGTGCCTCAATTTCCTCATCTGCCAAATGCATGTAATACCAGAGCCTGTGAAGGGGACAGGGTCGGGGTAAGGAAGAGACAGTGGTTAATGGAGCACTTTTCTGGAATGCTGATGCTTCTCAATTCCTAGTGAAGTTTTCCAGTGGCCTAAAGGAATAGGAGGAATAACTTTTAACGTTCTATTGCACAGTGTGGTAAATGTGGCTGACAGCAGTTAGCAAGTATTTCAGAGTAGCTGGTTAGGGAGACTTTTGAATAATTCCAAACACAAAGAAATGATCAATGTCTGAGCAGTTAGATATGTCAGTTACCCTGATGTGCTCATTAGACATTGTATACGTGGATTAAAAAGTTACACTGTGTCCTATAAGTGTGTATAATCTTTGTGTATCAATTAAAAATACAATGGGGATATCTAGCCTGAAAAGTTGTTAAGAGAGTTAAATAATTTGGTGCATGGAACAGGCCTTGTGCCTGGTAGCTCGTAAGGGCTTAGGAGTTAATTCTGCCTGTTTGGGACCCAGTCCATCTCCACCGTTGATGAGAGCAGAACAAGTCCTCAACCCTCATGTACCTGACACTGTCTAAATATTTTTAAAAATTACACAGGCATGAGTGATAGCAAAAGGAGGGACAATCTGATAAAATCGTACTATCCCAGAACAGTCATGATTAATATTTGGGGACGTGTGTCCTGGGTCTCTCCCTGTAGCTTGCCTTTAATGAACGTGTGTGCGTCCTGGTGAACGCAGGTCGGCTCCCTGAGCTCCTTTACTCAGGACGGCTCTGCCCCACCCCACGCGTCTTGCTCCCAGGTTCCACTGTGTGGCCGGCATCGAGAGTGATCGTTTGGAAATGTCACTGATCGTAGAGCGCCGTATTTGAAACTGTTACAGTCTTAACAAGTGGGACCATTAAGTGGCTCGCATAGAAAACCTCAAGCCCAAGCCCTTAGCCTTCCTAGCAAATGTCCCAGTCCACCAAACTGAGCTTCAGGAACTTGAGCGCTTTCTTGAGCGCTGATGTGCCTTAATTCCCAGTGAAGTTTTCCTGCGGCCTAAGAGTATATCTCACCACAGGTGTTGTTTGGATGTCATATAGGGAATATGACAGGGGCGAGACTGCACATACTCAGTACAGGTGCAGCGCTTCTTTCTGAGTATTTCCCATCCATCGTTCTGTGACTCCCTGACTCACAGGGCTAACTGTACTCACCTCATACCTGTGTAGATGCAGCCAGTTCTCATTGTTGCAGAAGTTATACTCTACACAGTGGCTATGAGCTCGGAATTAGCACATCTTGAACCATCTCCAGAGGGAAATACAGAGTTGTGGGGTCTTTCAGCACAATACTTTCATCCACCAAGGAATACATAATTTTGTTTATATGTGCTTGTATTTAAAGATACATACATCTAGGATATATATATATATATATATATATATATGTATATGTATATATAGGGGATATAGTGTATATTGTTGATTCATTGACATTAGCTGAGGGCTGTAGCACTATCACTTATTCTTGACTAATCTTATCTGAAACATACATTTGCTTCCATAGATGTTACAGCTTTCACGCAGGTAGAATTGCCTCCATTCCTTTACCCTAAGCAGTCTACTTTCTCTCTGGAGGTCTCCCTATTCTGGATGTTTCCTATGAATAGCACATCAGCCCTGTGTTTACGGGGACATTTCCACTTGTGATGTCACCAGTGAAAAGCACAAAACTGTGGACAGCTTGGCACTGAGTAGACTGTGAAAAGGACTTTTGTTTACAGTATAAAAGCTAAAACAAAAGGCTAAGAGTCTTTTTGTCCAGCCTCAGCGGGAAACACGCACACATTTGCAAATGACTGAGAAATCCCAAGTGTTGATTTTGGGATTGCAAGTGGATTTTGGCAAGTAGGTGAGTTCACAAATACAAAACCTGCCAGTAACCAGGACTGGCTATCCATACGTGTATACATACCCACATATAGTGTGTCTGTGCACATACAGATCCATTTTGTGGAATGTATAGTACATATAGACAGAAGTTTGTCTGAACCAGCACTTTGTAATCAGTGAGTCATAACAAAGAAACGAATTATAAAATCAATTTAGTAATTTGTGATTAGCATCTGAAATAAAACAAAATCAAAGGAAATCTCATGTGTTAAGAGTAAGATTGAAAGCCAGATGCATTAGTGTACCCCTAATTCCAGCTACTCAGGAGGCTGAGGTAAAAGGATTACACATTCAAGGCCAACCTGTGCAGCTTAGCAAGAGCTATCTCCAAATAAGAAATAAAAAGGGCTGCAGATATAACTAAGTGATGGAATAATGGCTCTGGGTTCAATTTCCAGAACCACACACACACATACACTGTCTTGGTTACTTTTATTTTGTTGCTGAGACAAAATACCTGACATCCAAAATGAAGGAAGGAAAGGTTTATTTAGCTCACAGTTTGTGGAGGTTTCCGTCTGTACTTGGCTGGCTCCAAGGCAGAGTGGCACATGGCAGAGGGCAACAGTTCATAGCAGCAGAAGACAGCAAAAGCAACAAGAGCAAAAGGGGGAGGGAAAGGAAGCAAGCTTCCTATGTGCCCATGCCCACACCATCTCAGTGCCCTCTTCTTGCACAAGCTCAGGATAAATACCAAAAAATGTCCTAGAGCAGGAAGGGCATGTCCTTTTCACCCCAGGATGTGGAACTGCGGAGTCACTTAGCCAAGCCTCTAGACTCCTCAAGTTGACACAGTGTATCAACCATAACACACACACACAAAGATTGTGTGAAAATCATTTTTCTTTGCATGCGTTTACATATTTAGTATCTCAAAGCAAGGGTATATTCTTGAGTCATGGTGCAGTGTGCACTGTACTCCTACTGTGAATGCAGTCAGAAGAGTTTGAAAGCCTGGACTCCCAGGCACAGGGTGGCTATGAGGGAGGCTGTGGCGCTACACCTCCAAATTTGGGACCCTTGGCCACGTACAAGTCCCATGGCCTTCAACAAGACCCTTGTCTGAGGCCGGTTCATCTGTTAAGGGGATGTAATGATGGCACTTCCCTGTAGAGTCCTCCTAGGAAATCAGTAAAGTAATGTGCATAAGTGCCAGGTGCGTGGATGGTGCGTGTGACGGTCAGTGTCCCCCAGGTGGTGACTGGGTCCGGGCTGGATAGCCAGAAGTCAGACGAGGAGTACCGCGAACTGTTTGATCTGGCCCTGCGGGGCCTGCAGCTCTTATCCAAGTGGAGTGCTCACGTCATGGAGGTGGTAAGTGTTCTCTGGCCTAGGGCCTCACGCTGACTTCTTTTCACTAGGAATCTGTCTGCTCTGCCTCCCCTCCGCCAGCGCTCTTTTTAACAGCTCTACAGAGATATGACTCTCACATCACACTATTTTTAAAAGTGTCGCTTCATGGGTTTCAGTGCCTTCACAGAGTTGTACAACCACATTTCAATTTAGAACACTTATCATTTCGAAAAGAAACTGCATGCGTCATCCACCGTGCCTGCAGCCCTAAACTATCTACTTTCTATCTATATAGCTTTCCCTATCCTGGATGTGCCATATAGATAGACTCATATTGTACACAGAGTTTTGTACTCGGCTTTTTGTTTCGCGTGTTTTCAAGGTTATTCCATGCCATAGCATGAATAAGTACGTTTCCCTTTGTGTGGCTGAATAATGCTCTATTGCATGGACACACGACATTCTGTTTACCCCTCCATCAGCTAATGGGCATTTGGACTGTTCCCACTCTCCCCAGTACTCTTGGAAGCTGGTTCACCCCACAGACAAGTTCTGCAACAAGGACTGTCCAGGCACGGCGGAGGAGTATGAACGAGCCACCCGCTACAACTATACCAGCGAGGAGAAGTTCGCCTTCGTGGAGGTAGGTGCTATCTCTCCCAGCGTCTCCCACCCCACCCAAGACTGCAGCTTATTGTGCTTTTGGAAATGGATCCAGCCATGCTAAGAGGGTTGGTTGTCTTTATATACATGCCTTCCCCCGTCTCCTTCTACCGCCCAAGTTAATCCCTGCCAAAACTTCTTACTCAAAACTGATTAGAAACTCATTTGTTCCTCAAAATGTCAAAGGAAAATGTTTGCTTCGCTACAAGAAAAGATCGAAAGAAAGAAACAAAAAACACATGGCTAAAAGAGATAGCAAAAATACCAGGCGAACAAGTGGTCAGAGAACTGCAGGTTGCAACTAAAATAAAATACAGTGTTCAGCAATCAGGAGAGAAAAGATTTGAAAGATCGGTGAGGCCTGCTGCAAGTGGAGGTATGGGAAGCAGACGTTCCTGGGTGTTGGTGGTGGCCAGCCTGCATTTAACAGGCCTTCTACCAGGGCAACAGGATCGTGCATAGTCATATGTTTTAATATTTACACCCTTTGGCTTGGAAATTGTGCTTCTGGGACTCTATCCCAGGGAAGTAAAACCACTGTCAGACAGGAGTGTGTAGGTATCTATCACAGTATTGATTATAATACCGGAGCAGGTGAAACAGCTGATAAGTCTTTGCATATGGGCCCAGATGAATAAGTTAAAATTTAGTTATATTATTCAGTTCTGTGCAGCCAGAAGGATGTCCCTGTATACAAAGCTATGCATAGTATATTGTTAAATTTTTTAAAAAAGGGAAAGAGTACCATTTAAAATAATCCTAACTTCCTTAGCTTTTCAATTTGTAATAGTATCCTTTTGTATATTTGCTCAAAACATAAAGACATACGTAGTTACATATGCCAAACCCATGATGGCCATCTCTGGTCATTTCTGGATGGAAGACTCTTGCATCCTGCTTTATAGCCTGTCTGTCTGTTTGATTGTACAATGGTGTTTCTGCTGGGAGGAGAACTCTTTCATACTAGGTTGTGAGCATGGCTACCTCTGGCATTAGCATTTGAAGCCCAATACAGGCTGCTCTGAAGCCAGAGTCCTGTATCCTAGCCCACAGGCCGATGGTCATGTCTACCTGAGCTTCACCTTCCCTATCTATAAAATGATGCCAGTCTTAGCTCTCTCACGTCCCAGAGTTATTCTTGAGAATCAGACAGTAGCTGTCCAGTAAGATCATGGTTGTAGATGAGCTTTGAAAGCTTAAAGGATCACATAAATTAAGAGGTTAGAGGTGTTCCTTAGGAGATCTGCAAAGTATACTTCCAGAGACTGCGGCTCAGTGGTTTAAATTTGAGGCAGGGGAAGACTTGTCTTGGCAGTTGACGTTGTCTTTGACCTGTCATCTCTTCCTTTGCTAACAGTAAATCTGCAAGAAAGTCTCCCAGTCCCCTTCACAAGGGGGAAGTCTTCCTCAAGCCTATCTAAAATGACGCTAACAGCCTGGGGTACATGCAGTTATGTAAAACTGTCCATGTGTCTTTCCCCAATAAAAGGAATGGGTTTGTGCTCTAGGTTATTTAGAAGATGTTCCTTCAAAATCCCCCTTCCCCACCTTCCACAGCCTCAGAACAGCCATCCACATGACATTTTGCTGGATTTCCTTTTAGTTCTTAATTTGCTGTGTGTAGCAGGTTTTGCCATTTTTAGTTCCTTAGAAGATCATGTTAAAAACTTTTAAAAGAAAACTAGTTACACATGGTATTTAAAAATAAAACAAAGCTAAACAGCAACCTGTACCACCCCTCTTCACCCTGATTCCCCAAATAGAAAACAAGTCTTTCGCCTTGTTATTTCTTCCTGTGTTTGTCTCCACTGAGCTAGGTAGTGGACCTCTGAGGCTATTTTTTGGTTGCTCAATTTATAGCATTTTCCACTCATTTCCTACTTTAGGACTAAGGATTTACTTCTCTTGTCTTCACCTACCACCCCCCTGCACACTGGGTTCCCCCATCTTGCCAGAGTCAGAGTTTCATACTTTTTTGATAAAAGTCAATAATTACCTTAAATTATGAGGACCAAGAAGCTATTGTTCATGGGTGAGTCACATAGTCCATTATGAATACATTTTTTTATGAATACATTTAGACCCTTGTACAATTTTAGATGTTCCTAAAGTTCTCAATGTCTTTGTAAGTGTGTGTGTGTGTGTGTGTGTGTGTGTGTGTGTGTCTAAATGGGGATTGAACCTAGAACCTTCACACTGAGCTCCATCTCCAGCCTTTTTTTATTTTTATTTTGAGACAGTCTCAATAAATCACTATTCTTCCCAGGCTGCGATCACATGTATAATCTTCCTGCTTCGGTCTCCCAGAGTGCTGGGATCACAGGTGTATGTCGCTGTGCCCAGCTAACAATGCCCTATGTTTTGTTTGTTTTCCATGAACTTACTTCAAAAGGAGTCCCCAGATGTAGCCAGTAAAGTGTAAAACTCCTTACAAAAACATTAATCCTAATCAGTATTTTAAAAATTCGATTATTCTTTTTTTCCTTGGAACTTGTCCTTCTGAAGCCCTCTCCTTTCCATTGATTTGTCCTTAGACCTGCTGCCTGACTACTGATTCCAGCCGTGTCCTCCTCAGTATCTTGCGAATGATGTTAATCTGCTGCGTTGGATCTCACTCTGCTTCTTCCTTCTTATGGAGTATATCCTCCAATAACTTCTAAGAAAGGGTTATGGCCAGGAAAAAATAGAGAATGTGAATGTCTGTAAATGTCTTGATTCCAGCCTCACTTAGTTGGCCAGACATAGAGAATTCTAAATGTTAAATATTTTTTCAAACATTTGAAAGAGTTTCTTTCTTGTCCTCTATCCTTTATTGTTGGTAATGAATGGTTGAATTCTATCCCATTCCCTAACTCACTTTTTCCCATCTGTAGAATTTTTTAAATGACAGTGTTAGTGAAATGGAAGTCACATATTACACAGTTCATCTTTTTAAATTATACAGTTCAGTGATTTGTAGCTTATTCTCAGAATTATGTGACGATTACTATTGTCCAAGTTTAGGATATTTCCGTCAGCTCCAGAAGAACATGTACCCCTTAGCAGTCACTTTCCATTCACACCCACATGAATCTACGTTCTGTCTCTGTACATATTCCTGTTCTGGAGATTTTATGTAAATGGAATTATGTAATATGTGGTCCTTTGTGACTGGCTTCTTTGACTTACATTGTTTTCATAGTTAGTCTGTACTATAGCATGTATCAGCGTTCCTTTAGAGTTGAATAATATTCCATTATATTGACATTCCATATTTGTTTATATGTTCAGTTAAATGAACATTTGGGTTGTTTGAAGTTTTCTGTTATCATGAACAATGCCAATATGAGTACTCATATACAAGTTTCTTTGTACATAGATGTTTTCATCTCTTTATCTAGGAGATAAATTTCGGGTATTTAGAAACTTGTTCCCCTTCTCACTTGAATATTTTCTTCCCACTTCCCACTATTTATTACTATTTATTTATTACACATTTACTTACACTATTTATTACACATTTACTTACACATTTTGCTTCTAACACCAGAGAAACAGCACAATATTTACACATGTCCAGTTTATTTCACTTAAGAGTGTGGTTTCCAGGTGCATCCATTTAGTTAGAAGTGTCTCAGGCTTACCATTCCTTATGGCAGAGTAGTGCTCCATTGTAGAAAACAACCACATCTTCTTTATCTATTCATCAGCTGAACTGGGCTATTTCTAAGACTGAGCTATTAAAAATTGTGCCACTATAAACATGGATGTGCATATATCACTGTGGTGTGATGCTTTTAATACTTCCAGGAAGATACTTAGAAGAGGAATAGCTTGCTCAAATGGAACTTCTAGTCCTACTTTTTTGAGGAATCTCCACATTGATTTCCACAGTGGATGCACCGTTCTGCACTACCACCAACAGTGGAGAAAGGTTCCTTTTTCCCGTACAGCCCCACAGCATTTGTTATTGGTTGATTTTTTTGATGATAGCCATTCTTTCTGGGGTGAGATGGAATCTCAGCATTGTTTTAATTTGCATCTCTCAAAAGACCCCTGATTTTGAACATTTTTTTTATATATTTATTTGCTGTTTCTACTTCATTTGCCATTTCTACTTCTTCATCTAAGCAGTGTCTGTTCATCTCAGATGCCCATATTTGGATTGGGTTTTTAAATTTGGAAAGTCTGGGTTTTTTTTGTTTTTTTTTTTTGTTTTTTGTTTTTTTTTTGAGTTCTTTGTATATTCTTGATATTAATCCTTCGAGGAACAGCTGGCAAAAATTTTTTCCAGCACTGTGGGTTGTCACTTCACTCTGTTGGTGGTTTTTTGTGCTGTACAAAAGCTTTTTAACAAGATGAGATCCCAGTTGTTGATTGTGACAGTTCCTGTGTGATCAGGGTTTTGTTCATGAACTCTTTGCCTACAGCAATGTCTTCAAAAGTTCTGCCTATTTTATCTTCCAGAAGATTTAGTGTTCCTGTTTTAATATTTAGAACTTTGATCTATTTCAAATTTAGCTTCATGTATGATGAAAGATATGCATCTAATTTTAATCCTTGGCATGTGGAAAGCCAGTTTTCCCAGCACCATTTATTAAAGAGGCTATTGTTCTTCCAGTGAAGGTGTTTGGCTCCTTTGTCAAAGATAAAGTGGCTGAGTATGGTTGGAGTTGTTTCTGCATCTTCTAATCTGTTCCACTGATCATCAGGTCCTTTTTTGATAGTACCATGCTGTTTTTCTCACAGTAGCTTTATAGTATAATTTCAAGTCAGGGATAGTGGTGCCCCCTACCTTGCTTTTGTTGCCCAAAATTGCTTTTGCTATTCTAGGTCTCTTCTGGTTCCAAATGAATTTTAGGATTGTTTTCTATAAATCTGAGATTTGCTGATGGTATTTTGATTGGGATTGCATTAAATCTGTATAACAGTTTTGGAAGTGTGATCATTTCCACTATATTGGTTCTTCCTACCCAAGAACAAGGGATATATTTCCATTTC